TTTCAATGATATCGGCGTTCAGCGAGTCGTCGGTCGACACAATCGTATCCATCAGAAGAAGAATAGTAGCCATAAAGTGGCGAAACTCTTCACCCGATTGAACGAATGTGTGGACAGTTGTCTCGGACTGAGTGGCGCTCCATATGAGTGACAACACTGTCTTCAAGTGGTGAGCGGTCGTCACGTTCACAGCCACACACCCGCCATCACCAGCAGCTGATCCGACGGTCTGTTCCCACTCCATGTCTTCCTTCAACTCGTGGTACACTTTGCGCACGACTTCCAGTTGTCTTTTGCAATTGGTCTCGCGTTTCAGCGACTGATCCAACGATTGGCGCAATTGATAGGTCTGTCGGACGCATCGATCGGACGATTGTCTCAATTGGCGTAAATTGCGGTCCAATTGTGGCATCAAATGAGTGATTGTCTGCCAAACAGAGCTCTTCATTGCGATCACGCGATGGTCTCGTTGTCGTCGCCGGCGTTCGCTCTCTTCGGCCACACTTGACATCAATTGCAATACATTTGTCTGTATTTCGTGTGTCTTCTCCACGAAGAGTGTCAACAATGCGGCCATCGATGCGTCCATTGAAGCCATGGATGAGTTGTAGTGATAATGTGTGGACACAAACCTCTGGACGTAATGTCAATACAATTGTGGCGCCGAATGTGAGCACACATTCACTGCTCAACCAATCGCTGCGTTCGACACACAAGAGTGTGCATTGAGTTGTAGAGCGCAACCAATCGCTGCATTCATTACATGAACGCCTCAACCAATTAAAGAATACAAAACAAACATTTAATACAAATATATACACAAAGTGTGAATATTTTTTATGAATGTATTGGGTGTTAGTATTAATACCCGTATTAATAGATTGTATTAAAATTTGTCATGACATCAAAATACAACTCACTTCTACGGAAAGCTATGGAAAATAATCGCAAACTAAATGAAAGGTATTTTCCATTCAGTTGTGAATAATATAAAATATTAAATGTACTCATCAATTGATTCAATATATGTGTACATTGAATTGTGATAACTCAATCGTTGAATGAATGGCTATAATGCTAACAAGGGTTAGGGTTATTGTAGGGTTGTCATTGAATTTGAAAATATACATATACTCACACATACTATATAAGAGTCGAGCATTTTAGTAAAATTAATGCTTTCTATCTTTAGAAATATGAGTGAAGAACAGCATAAAAAATTTGCTTTCGACAGCTTATCGGCCGCTATTCTCGGCGCACCGCTCGACACATTGTCAGCAGCTCTTCTTCGCCTACAGCCTGAGCACAAGTTATCACTAATTATGTAATGTATTATTAATTTTTCCAAATTTAGACCATTTTTAATGTGTAATTTTTTTGTGCAATTGGACATGTGCATTTTATAAAATATTGTTTAATTTTTATAGCCGTTTGGCCGAGTCGTTGCAATGCGAAAGGTCTGTGGGAGGGGTGGGGGGCGATGGGACGACACCCCCAGGAACGACACCTGAAGGGGATGCTTATATGGAGTCACCGCCGCTTGGAAACCCCACCGCTGGCTTAGGAGATGGCAATTAAAAAGTGGTAATTTTTAACCGAAATTTTCCGTAAGACCTTATATATAATATATTTCATTATTTTTTTTACAGATTTATGAATAAAATTGAATAAAATATCGATTTATTGAGAAAATTAGTGTACATTTTATCACATATTAACCGCACATTTAGTCAGACTCTGCGAGAACAGCAAATCGGCTCTTCGTTTGGATCCCTCCCTCTTCTTCCTCCTCCTCTTCGCACTCGTCGTCGCTATCCTTGACGTCATTGTCGGCCATCTCTTCGCTGTCGGAAACGTCTGCCAATCGGTGGCCGCGAATCGTCTCCATATACGGCACGTCCGGATGTGTGGACCAAACGGCGCTCTTCTGTCGGCAATAATCGGGCGGAAAGAACGCCAGACATAGAGTGCGTCCGTCGAGTGCCATACGGAGCATATGATTGGCCGCGCGGTAGGCGTCGGGTCGCGCGGCTTTGGCCGTATAGAAGCCCCGCTTTATGGCCCACGACTCGCACACGTCGTACGCCGACCACTGCTGGCCACCACTGGAGGCCGACGACACGCACTCATCGCTACTGAACGCCATTATGGGTCGCAAAGTGGTCAGTGTTTCGCGCACTCCCGGACACACCAAACACTTTCAGACCATTTTCCTGACGCCNCGGGTATTCGTTGCGATATATAGCCCACCGCTGCGAAGGGCTGCCGGAGCTGTGCGATGGGATAGCAGCCCATCAACACCTGTAGCTCTTTGGGCGCTCGCGAGGGGAACACCAGTCCGGGACAGTCGCACAGCCGTACGGTTGGCGTCAGGAAAATGGTCTGAAAGTGTTTGGTGTGTCCGGGAGTGCGCGAAACACTGACCACTTTGCGACCCATAATGGCGTTCAGTAGCGATGATTTGCCGACATTCGGGTGACCGACGCAACCGATGGTCACCACTCCGTCTTTGAAGCGCTCCGTTTGCTCGTAATAATTGAGATCCACTTTCGCGCGCTTCTGTTGGCCCGTCTTTAATGGATCTCTTCGTTGGGTGTCTTCATCCGAGTCATCGTTATCGTCGTCGGTGTCGTCCGGACGACTGGCGGTCGACTCTTCGGCCCGCAATTCGTCGTCGATTTTCTTCCTCCAGTTCGAGAGATCGACGCGTTGTCCGCAAATGCGTTGACACAACGCCTGCAGAGCGCGGGCGGCGTTGGAGGCCATCCGTAGTTTACCGATGCGTTTCTTGTTGTTCTTGAGTCTCATTCCGGCGTAAGAGGCGAACGACAGGACATGGAGTTCGGGAAACGTGTGCTTCAGATAATGAGTCCACGCAATCACCAGAGATGCGTCCACTAAATCCACTTTATTGAGCACTAGAATCATGTCTTTGCGGAGTTCGTGGACGACATAGCGGTATAGAGAGGGCGGGAAGTGAAACACCGGGTGTCGTATGTCTGCGATGAGGAGCACAATGTCCGACATCTCGAGGACGCGCCACAACTGCCGCCACGTCTCCAGATTGAGCTCAAAATAGCTGAGTCTCTCATTGGTTGCCGTAATTGTGTCCAAATAGTGGCGGAAGTACTTGTGTTCGGCCGCTTCCAGTTGTGCGGCACTCATATTGCGGTCCCATTTGGGCCGTCGCGGCATATCTTGCGCCGATTGGTCGCCAACACCGCCGCCACTGAACACCTCTTCGACTGACACTTCGCGACCGCTTTCGGGCAACACTTGAAAGGGTTGACCGCTTTCTTCGCGCTTTTGTCGCAACTCTTCGTCCGATTCTCTGAAGAATTGAAGAGCGAATCGATTCACGTCTCGACTTTTGTCGACTCGGTTTTGGGCATTCATTTGTCGGACACCCGACTGACCAACAGATGTCGAGGCCGTGGAATCGCCGCCCAAACTGTGGCCAACAATCACCGACTCTTCGGCCGAGTCGTTGCCACTCAATGTCTCACTCGTGTTATCAGTGATCACGTGTTGTGTCTCTTGTGGTGCTCTCGTTGTGGTATTCTTGTGGTCTCTCTTATCCTTCAGCTGTTGTTTCTTCTGTTTGGCACTGAAGGCCACTTTACGGCCCCCTCTTTGAGGCATCACTTCCAACACTTCCGACCACTTCTTGGGATCGCTTTAATTGGTTAACAAATGGTATACAAAATGAATGCAACAAAACGTGTCTTTCAATGAGTTTTGTTTACAAACTTTTTTGATCACAAGTTTTGCTGTTTTGTTGTGGTTTTGCATTCAATTCACACGTTATTTGTGTGCAAACCATAGGCTGAGAGAAAACACCCGACAAAACATGCAATCAATTGATTGTTTGTGTTTTGATTTGATTCACAATTTATAACACTATTTGTGATGTGAATTGTGTTCACAATTAAAGCCATAAATACAATGATTTCATTGTAATTACGATATAATAATTGCCCCGAAAACAAGTCCATCACTTTCTCCCCCGAAGAATACCATTGAAAATGCAATTTTATTTTTGACATCAATTTTATTATTTTTATTCAATTTGTAAACTGTTTTACAAGTGATTTAAGTTTTATATTAATTTAATTAAAAGTTATAATTAAAGTGTAATTATAATTAAAGCGATGAATAAGTTGGTGAAGAAGTCACTGCCGTTGGTCTGTGTTGTGACACAACTGATGGCAATGTTATTGTTTGCCTTCAGTTTCTTCGACGTCGAAGAGACGCTGTTTAGCCCCGGAAGCGCTGCCAATACGGGCCACACCATCGGCCCAAGAAGTGCCGTCGATTTGATCCGAAGTGATGTCCACTACAAACAGATTGACGATTACTGTCGGCCAAGACTGACGACGACGACCGCCAAACCGATGTTCAATAAACTGGTTCTTGTGGTGATCGACGCGTTGAGACACGATTTCATCCCATCCATAGATAGGCCGCCGAAGTCCGTCCAATCGGGTGATCGCCGCCACCGTCACCGCCGGGCATCGGGTGACAGCGGCGGACACCGTATGCCGTTTACGGAGTCTATTATGCAAACAAACGGTACGTAAAACTTGTATTTAACGGTTTGATTGCAATGATAATCGTTTAATACATTAATCCAGGCGTGGGTTTGGTGTCGATATCGGCGACACCGACGGTAACGATGCCGCGGATCAAAGCGATGATCAGCGGGACTCTGCCCTCATTCATGGACTTTATACTAAACCTAAGCGCCTATCGTTTCAACGGCGAGAATATCGTTGAGAACGCCTTCAAAGCCAACAAGAAGACAGTGTTCTTCGGCGACGACACGTGGATTCAATTGCTGCCCAAAGAGGTGTTCGCCAAATACAACGGCACTTCTTCTTTCTTCGCCACCGATTACACCGAAGTGGACACTAATGTCACGTATTGTGTGCGCCGGGAGTTGAAGGCACTGCACGAGTGGGACGTAATGATCACACACTACTTGGGCGTCGACCATATCGGCCATTCGCACGGCGGCTATCACTCGAAGCTGATGCCCAAGAAGTTGCTCGAAATGGACGCCGTCGTCGAGAGTATCTACACCCGGGTGTCGGCGCCGGACGTTCGCGAGCCTTACTTAGTGGTGATCACTGGCGACCACGGGATGACCGATATTGGCAATCACGGCGGCAACACTCCCGCCGAGACGGACACCGCGTTGGTATTTCTCACCACTAATGGCACCAAAGTTGGCCCCAAACCAGTCAAAGCCAGTCCCGATGGTAGAGCCGAACGCGTACTGCAAGTGGACATCTCTCCTACGCTGTCGGCGTTGATAGGCCTCCCGTTGCCCAACAAGAGTATCGGCAAAGTTATGCTGAATGTGTTGGACGCCCTCTCGATGCCCACCGATCAGCAGTTGTGTCACATGTTTGCCAACGCCGTCCAAATCAGTCGTCTGTTGCCCGAGTTGTCCGCCGATCACAAGTCGGCCGCAGAGAAAGCGTTCAAATTTCACACAAAACTAATGGCCAACCAAACGGACACCACATTTAACGCCGATTATCACTACAAAACGGCCGCCGATTCGTACGACACACTCATAGCGTCAATACAATTGAAATTAATGACCAAATATACTGAGAAATCATTTTTCTCGTTAATAACGCTATCGCTATTGTTTGCCATTGTGTCGATCGTCGGCTTCGCGTTCATCGACTACCGGAACCGCTGTTCAATCCTTTGGACTAAAGTGAAAGACATTCAGACTGTGTTCGCCATAGTTGTGGTCGCATTGAATTGTGTGCTCCTTCTGTCCACCAGTTATATGGAATACGAGCACTACTTCTGGTATTACATGACGTCCACCATTGCGTTCATCCAATTGGCAATCGCTGTCCGCAATCATTACCGAAGCGCACACCCGGCCATTGTCTCGTTAGTGGATCCGTTCACGACATTACAAGAAAATACGTTATTGCAAATGTTGGCCGTCGTATTGATACTGATTTTGGCCAGAGTTTGCAACTACTGGAATGTGTTGAACGGCGAAGACATCGGCCAATGGCTCAACAAATCGGATAACAAGCGAGTGCTGAGCGCTTTAGTCATCTGTTCGCTGATCGCTATCTCTTATCTAATGTCGACAAAGCGTTTCGGTAAACAACAGTGTCTTCTCATCTCAGGTCTCTTCTGGGTCTACCTCTATAGGTATGGATCTCTCTCTCTCTCTCTCTCTCTCTCTCTCT